TGGGTGGTGCTGATATTGTTCCCAGGTGATTCACATGGAAACTGAGTCCTAGAGAGGTTAATTACATGACCCAGACAAGGACCACATCAGGATTCAAAGCCTGCCCATCTGGCTTCAAAGACAAAAATTTAACTGCTAGAAAGTGCAAAAGAAAGGATAACAAGGCACAGGGCTTACATAACTTATAAAGGTATTGGCTCTGATGAAAAGACAAATTGGCTGCATTACTAAATCTTAAGCAATGTTTTCTTCAAATGGTATTTAGACATCCATTTAAGGTAGTGTTAACAGCAGTCATTGTAACCTGAGTCTGATTCTAGCAACAACTTTGGGTTCTTCAGCAAATGGGACTCCTCTCTAAAAAAATAAAATCGGAAAATGGACAGCAAGAGAGAGCAAGAAGCACTCACTCTTAGCCATAATCTCTGGTTTATTTCACCTTGGGCCTCCTACTAAGTTGAAAAGAGAGCCCATGAGTACCCCAACAGACTCTAGACGTTGCACCAGTAGAATCTTGGCCATGAATAAGACATACTTATATATTGCTTATGCCACAAATATTTAGAATTTAATATTTAATTATAAGTTGCAATTTGGGAAATCCTAGGGATAGAAAAATCAAACATAGGCAGAGACTCTGCAAGAACTGTGTGTGTGAGATCTCATTTTAAGCATGAAGTGTTGGTGCTATTCTTATGATTTCCCCTTGAGTTTTCCTTGAATATTGAGCAACATTGGGAGTAGGAAGAAGCGGACTGATAAGGTCCATTCTGGCTTTACCCGCAGTGTGTACTTGGAGAAGCATCTGAACTTCTCAAGGCTGTCACCCTTCATTGAATGGCAGGGTAGCTGACCAAAGTGACTGCTCTTCCTACCTACAGAGGACCTGTCACAGACTACTGAAACATTGAGTGTAGAAACACTTAAGTTCTGACCTTATTCCTCCATTTCCAGGTCACCCCTGTTAAGGGAAAAAGTCCTCTCCATCTGACGAAGACCCTAAGTCCACTAAAAGCGGAGATCATTTAGTGAAAGTTTAGTCCATCCCAAGTGTTTGTGAAAAAAAATAAAATAAAACTGGGAAATATAAGGTAAACAGTAATTCAAGAAAGGAAAGTAGAGCCTCAGTGGCCCATAGACCTGCATTCTAACATCCCCCAAATGTCTGCAGTACCCCCAAGCCCAGAAGTCTCCCAGAAGATCTAAACAGGCTTCATGTCTCTGCAGAGAAACAGATACACACATTCTCCCAGGTGTGGCACAGACATTGGAAGCAGGCCAGGGCACGTCCAAACCTTCCAGAAGAGTGAGAAGGTATCTGAACACACAGCCATGACCCTTAGAGCTCAGAGCAGAGGGCAGCATTCACTGTACAGAAATGCAGGTAGACAGTCAAGCTTCAGCCAGCCTGGATTCCACACCAGCTAAAACACAGTACAGTAAAATTGATGTAGTTAATGACAACCCAGGGCAAAGGGAAATTGATGAATTATGTCCTGGAAACTTTGCATAAGAAGGCAGGAAATTGGATAGTATATTTCAAAGAGATTGTCACCAAAGAGTCTTTAATTTTAAATTTTGCTACATAAAGTATTAAAAATCTCCAACATCCAAAAAAGATCACTTTCCTAGAAGAATTTATTCATTATGAGTCTGGATTAACTGGCATTCTATTTGGCAACTTCTCCATCTTTTTCTTCAGTGAGGAATAACTGATAAATTTTAGCTATGATTTTCCTTTATACCTCAAAACTTGCTTATGTCATTCTTCTGATTTTGCAAAGCAGATTTAGGTGCAGGTCCCATAATAGACTAGAGTCAACATTTATTGAGTGTTTATCATGTGCCTCAACTGTGCTAAACATTTTACACAAATTATCTTAGCCTTGGAACCACTCTATGGTGGGGGGAAAAGGTGGGTGGTGCTGATATTGTTCCCAGGTGATTCACATGGAAACTGAGTCCTAGAGAGGTTAATTACATGACCCAGACAAGGACCACATCAGGATTCAAAGCCTGCCCATCTGGCTTCAAAGACAAAAATTTAACTGCTAGAAAGTGCAAAAGAAAGGATAACAAGGCACAGGGCTTACATAACTTATAAAGGTATTGGCTCTGATGAAAAGACAAATTGGCTGCATTACTAAATCTTAAGCAATGTTTTCTTCAAATGGTATTTAGACATCCATTTAAGGTAGTGTTAACAGCAGTCATTGTAACCTGAGTCTGATTCTAGCAACAACTTTGGGTTCTTCAGCAAATGGGACTCCTCTCTAAAAAAATAAAATCGGAAAATGAACAGCAAGAGAGAGCAAGAAGCACTCACTCTTAGCCATAATCTCTGGTTTATTTCACCTTGGGCCTCCTACTAAGTTGAAAAGAGAGCCCATGAGTACCCCAACAGACTCTAGACGTTGCACCAGTAGAATCTTGGCCATGAATTCCATGAACTCCATGCTTGCCCTGGCAGGCAGAAGTCACCAATGAGGAATGCTCAGACCCAGTTTGTGGCCAAAGACATCTCAAAGCTTGGGCCTGGGCCACTGTCCTCAGCACTCTCCGTGGCAGGCTTTTGCAAGTGCAGGGCACAGCCTGCCACAGATGCACGGACAGTCATTCCTAGGAATGCTGTGCTCCCACGATGAAGGCCATAGGGCCTGGGAGCATCTTGGAGCTCAAACTGTCTTCATCAAACCCTCACAAACACCGCTCCATAGCTTCAGAATGCCCCTAAGAACATGCCATTCTCAGCTCAAGAAGTTGCTCCTGCAGGAATTTAAGTTTACTTTCAGCTATTTCTTGTTTTGCTTGGTTTCTAGAAAGGAGGGAGAAAAGGAAAGGGAAGGAGGTGATGGGGGCATTGAGTGGCCTCTTTTCTATTGGGGCTTATCATGGGAAATGCATTATCTCACTGCTAAACTACTGATGGTCCATCATGAAAGTCCCTGAGAAGCATTGAGGAGCCCATGGCATCCTCAGGGATCAAGGGCCTGGCTCCTCCGTCTGTCCCACACAAGCAGAGCCAGCTGAGCTGTTAACATCTGTGAGGCTTACTTGGGTGGAGGGGCCTGAGCAGCACTGCTGGAAGTGAAGGCAGAGGTGACTCAGAACCAGGTACAAAGCACATCGAGGTCTCCATACCCTGGATAACACAGAAGCCAGTGATGCCGAGCACTGTCCATGAGACAAAGGCCTTGCCCGGGTCGCTATGCCAGGGCCACTAGCACAAGTCCTTCACAAGGAAGCAGGGACAGCTTTTCATCACCACCTGGCTTCAGACAGTTGAGATCTCAGTGGAGACAAGAGCACCAGCCTCCCAGGCAGGAGGGTTCCTGCTTCAATGTATCAGTGGTTCCTGGGTGTCTGGTGTTGTGCAAGGGCTAGGACAGCACTCACCCACTCTTCCCCAGACTGGTGCCTTCCTAATACCAGGCAATCTGCACTGATTAAACTCAGAGCCATCTCTAGTTGAAATGGGGCCAACTTCAGAAAAGTGCCAGTCTTAGAAGAAACAGCTGAGTGTTGTCCAGCCCACAGGATATCATACCTTCTCCCCATAGATTTATTGGTATTTATTCTTAAAATCTAAAAGTAATATGCCCTGTTATCCAAAGAATTTTGAGATGCCTCAACAAATTGCAACAAATATATTAGGACAAGAAGGAACAAGCTTGTTCTTCATGAGCCCAGAAAGAAAAACAGGAGCATTAAGTATAAGTACTAAGATTTTGATTCAGCATTTTTTAGGAAGTCCTAACACTGATAATTTTTTCTCTGCCTGAAAAGAGAAAGTGTTGTATTGGTAGAGAAAACACTTCAGACATGTTCATAAGAAGCTGGCTAACTTTGTAATGGATATTAATTCCTTCATTCCACAGGAATCCCTCACCCCCCATTGGAGAAGAGCATGGAGGTCTGTCACCCCACCCAGCGTAAGGACAGATAGATAGACACAGACAGACAGTCACCGGGCAGCCTCAGGGGCTCAGGCTAGGGAGGAGCTGGCAGGATTACTTAGATTCCCTTCCCTTTCAGATCTCATCATTTAGCAGCTAACAATGCTACTGAGAAACATGGTGGCCTCAGCATCTGACACTCCAACAGTGGCATCAAGGTACTGATACCTTCCGTCCTGTTCCTTCTTTAGGTCTGACACTTAGCTGTGGCTTTTCTAGTAGAAGGTAACTGGGGTGCCCACGAGAGTAGATGAAAATCAGGTTTGCCTGGCCCCTAAATCCACATAAGACTGCTTTGTATCTGACACCACTTTTGGCACATGGCCATGCTTTCAGGAAGATACCAGAGAGGCCCCAGAGCCAGTTGCCTATACCCTCCTGCCCTCTGGCTCCAGTGAGTGTGAGCTATTTAATGACCAGCTGACAGAGGAGCTTACTCCTTTTCCTCAGTTAGTGGCCACCAAGTCAATAACCAAGGACATACCCAGATGGGGAGTGGAGAAGTCATACCACATGAGGGCCACACCCCAGAGCTCTGCTCAGAAGGTCAGCAGCATGCGGGCAGCCTGGTGACAGCCCCTCCATGGACATTGGTTCTTCCCTCTCCCTCATGGGCAAGTACTGTTCATGCCCTGGTGAAAAGCACTTTGGCTATCTCACATCACCTTTGCTCAGTAGCTGGAACCGCCTGCTTGCCCTCCTGGAGGTAGCTGGGCAGGGGTGGGAGGCAGGCACAAGCAGACAGAGGCCCTAACAGGGAGCCAAAGAGGGGGCACAGGAGGCACCAGGGCTGAGGGTAGCTGTTTTGCTGAAGGGCGTCTTGGAAGGCTGCTCTGATAAGGGGACATTTGAGCAGAGACCAGAAAGAATAGCTATCTAGAGGAAGAACATTCCATACGGAACAAGTAGCACATGCAGACACTGAGGCAGGAACATCAGCCACAGGAAGGGACAGTGTGGTCGGGCATATAAAGGGAAGAAGAAGGTGGCAGAGGAGGCCAAAGAGGCCAGGTCGTGTGATCTCATAGGTCACTGGGCGACCTGAAATCGGGGTCAGCACCAGCCAGGAAGCTGCCGGAAGTTGTGGGGCTGGGCAAACCGACGCCAGTCTCTGCCCTAAGAGCCTGCTTCCACTGCCGTGGACAGTGGCCTGGGAGCTGCGGGGAGGCGAGAGCCAGACTGGTGGCCTGGCAGGGCCCTGGTGAGAGATGAAGACAGCGGGGGGAAGGCGCTGTGAGGTGAGTGGGCAGCCCCAGCCTCTGGAGTCCAGCATCAGCCTCCTCCCTGGGAGGCTTATCAAGGCAGCTCTCTGAACAGACAGCCCTCTCTGTAGGAGGAGTTGGGGTGAGGAATGGCCCACCCACTAGATCCCTGGGCTCCTTCCTCCCCTCCATGAGGAGGTGGAGGGAGTTGAATCGTCGTCTGGCAGGAAGACATTCAAAGGGAAGTTTTCCTAGAATTGTGAGTAACAGAATGCTGCTGACAGCGCCGCCTGACTTTACAGGGCACCCCCTGGACACAGGGGCTATTAATAGGTTCCTGCAGGACCGATGCTCTGGCAGGCGGGAGGCAGGAGCCTCACCAGGGAGGGGGAGGCAGACACAGGGTGGGGAAAGAAAATCCTTCATAGACTAGCCTGGGGAATGCAAAAAAGTCAGCAATTGTTTTCCAGCCCCTAGTCTAAGGCCCAGTAAAGCTGTGGGCTAGGGTGTGACTATTTGGACTAAACAAAAACTGGAAGCTTTTGAAGGAGCTAAGAGAATCCTCCATAATATTAAATACTAACACAATCCACTACAGTTTATTGGAGAGTGAAAAGTAATTTTTAAAAGAACAACAGGACATACATCTCCTTGAACCTTAAAACTAATCAGATGGTTCACTTAAACTGGTGAACCAGTAACTGGTTAACCTCACCCCAGTGAGGGATTCTGAACCAAACTTTCAGGCTGCAGTGCTGGACAAGGAGCAGAGGGGTCGGAAGCCTCCTGACACAGCTCACCCACCACCTTCGCATAAATAGCAGGAGTGGACCTTGTCACTCCCTTCGGCCTCCTTCGCAGACACCAAGCCTGGGCAAGGCACTGGCTGAGCCATGCTCATGCAGAACAGCATCCGTGAAACCCAATGTGCTACTGGGACAAAGAGAAAGCCATGTAGCAAGAATGAGAGGGCTTGAGACACAGCCCATTCCCCTCTAGTGGCAAAGTGCAAAAAAATTTTTAATAAAAACTCTGAATTCCCAGGAGTGCCTTTTTTCCTAACCAGTGCTTTGGAGAATTACAGGCACCTAATGAAACCCATTCAGCATAATAAAAAGAGCACAGCTTTGTAATCTTATTCTGAATTCAACCATACCTGCTATCAGGTGGCCTTTGAAAAGCTGGCTTAACCTTTTTGGGCCTCAGTTTCCTCATCAGGAAAATAGGCAGAACACTACTTGCACTGCAGTGTTGTGAGAATCAGTGGGGTAACAGGCAAAACGACTGGCCCCCAGGGAGTCGTTGCACATACTCCTTTGCCTTCCCGGTTGCTAATGAAAGATGAAAACAAAGAGTGTAAGCCAATGGAACTTACACAGCCTGGGAATCCAGAAGGAATCCATTGCAGGAGGCATATTTTCCAAATAGTGTCACTGAACACTGACCACATACTGAGTATAGTTGTGAGAAATGGTGACCCACTTCTCTGTCTCCCACCAGAATGTCCTCTATGCCAACACAGTACTGCAGCACTTCTGCTTAGAATTTATTCAGTTTGCAAATGAACATAAATTGTCATTTACTTTTTGTTTCATTTTGTAGATTTGTAATGTTTTCTCCAGAAAGCCTGAGCTTGTGGGAGGGCACTCTTTGGGTGCCAAGACTCAGGACACCCCCTGGGGGAGTCATCTCCTCATGGGCTTCTCAGTTTCACCTACCGGGTATGCAAAAACAGAACTCTGCGACTAGAAACAGGATCTGTGACTGCATTGACGCTTTTTTTTAACCTCTTGGAAGAGACTTGGGCGGAATCTAAGTATCATTGTAAAAATCCACAAAATCCCAAACCCACTGAGCGAGCAACAGATGAGGGAAATTGTTCCACATCCTGTCGAGAGGAAATGAACGGGACCGGGAGGGAGAGCGCCGCGTGGCGCGAAAGCTCGGTTTTCATCCTGATGCTGAACATCTGCCACGTTCTATGCAGAGCTACCAGCTCACGCAGACAGTAGGCCCCTGGACTCTGAAGCCTCCCAGTGCACACTGGAATGGTCCTCCTCGGCAGCTGTGGGAACGTGGACAGGAAGCCAGGGACCCCGCAAGAGAGAGTGTAGGAGTACATCCTGTGGGGATAGATAAAAAATAACAGCCAGGCTGTGGGAACCTATTCCGAGCAAACACGTGAGCTCAAGAATTTCCTGAGCCAACGATCTGCCTCCAGTTATTTGCTGTATCTGTTTATTTGTTTTCCCAAGCAATTCTGCATAATTTTGACAAAGGGAAAGAAGACATAAATCCAGAGCATATATGATTATGTTTTTAAGATTTTGTTCGCAGAACACTCACATGATAAGGGACAGAGAGGCACCAGTCCGAATGCAGGGTTTGCATGTGGGCCCAAGGAGTGCAAGGAGAAGGGTGGGGGGCAGCCCCTGGGCCTTCCAGATGAAGAGGAAGCTGGTCAGCAGGTGCCGCAGGGGCCAGGCCCAGGGGTGCCTACCCACTGCACACCAGCTCCAGCCTGAAGAGGAGGACTTTCAGAGCCACACAGCTGGGAAGCAGCTCACCCCCATTACAGGCCTTATCAGAGTCAGCATTCCTCTGAATCTTCAAGAAAACTGTTCCACAATTCTTACGATGATTGATAATTTACCCATGTAATCCCACGTACTAGAATTTTAAACAGTGAATTTTAAACCTGGTGGATAACATTAGGTTTTCAGTACTTTTTAGAAGCACAGACTTACTTTTTAGTCCTTTGAAGATATGGATCTTTTTTTGAACACACTGTTTCAGCAGCTGCCGTGGCACAGGTCTGCATGGTGAGCGTCTGCACCCACGCAGGCACATGGTGCACCTCCCCTTGGCCCCGGCCACTGAGGTCGCTTCTCTGCCCTCCCTGGAGTGACGGGCAGAGCTCACACACTGTGGGCCCTCTGCGCTCCCTTGGAACCTGCCTCCAGACCTCGCACGCCACTTTGTGATTACGCCTTCTCTCCCCTCAGAGCCTGCTTTTCAGAGCATCTGGCCTTGTGTTCAGCAAATAGTCACGAAATGCTCATGGAATGGAATTCACCACCATGGGATTCACAGGTTTGCTCTCTTCCCTGTCTTTCCCACCAAGGAACTGTGCAGCCCAGAACTCCTGCCACCGCCTCTGTACCCAAGCGTTGGGAGGCTACCCTCGAAGAACCCGGCAGCCCTGGTTCAGGTTCGGACCTGCTGCAGATACACCAGACTCACCAAGGGTGCTTTTTACTACCTTAAGGTTTATTTCCATTTGATCTAGATATTACAAATAGTTTTTATTTCCCTTTGAAGAAATGCCCCTTTACTTCCATCACTTTGCTGCACCCCTCCCTTCAAACACTTCCCTCCCTCTCCCCATCTTTGCTCTTTCAGGCCTTCCTTCCTCCCTTCCTGTCTTCCTCCCATGCCTCCTGCACTCAGAGGCCAGATGCGGCCAGCCACCCCCGGAGGGCAGGTCTCCATGTGCCCTGGAAGCCAGACTGCCCCGGCTCCAGGCCCCTCGCAGTGTGACCTCTCTCCCCACTCACTTCCAGCGAGGCCCCCGGAGTGTCTGCCCTGGCTCTGCCTCCCTCCTTCTCTCTCCCACATGCATGCAGACCTACCTTCTGCTGTGGGCCATTACAGACTAAAGCAGTTCACGCCACAAACTTGGCCTCATCCTTGAGCTTTACTTGGGAAATGTGAATATCCATCCACCTGTGTGATGTTTGTAAAGGAAAAGGGACAGGTGGAGGAGGGGGGCTTCCCACAAAACACAAAAGAATCACAAAGAAGTGTTTAAAATACCCAGGATTTGGTGCTGAACATCTCTCAAAGCATCTTCTGATTTCCCAAAGCTGATGGAAATATTCTGAAGGTATTAATAGAATGCAGATGTTAGAGAATGCGACTTAGAATTCTGCTGAACAAATGACCCTATTGGGAGGTCGTTTCCAGTCTCTGGGGACATTCCACAGAGGGCCCAGCTGATTGTCTCAGATTGAAACAACATGTCCAAGACACATTCCAGCTAGAAGAAAGCGGAACAAGGCTCTTCCAACCAAATATAAATCATGAGGCAAAAGGGCAACCGAACTCCTCAGCTCCTCCTCCCTCCTTCCCTGCTTCACCCCCACCCCACCCCCTGCCTCCCTCCCACCCCCCAAGGAAAACAGAGCATTGAGTAAGAGGCTGCCAAGCCAAGCTGACTCAGGCGCCAGCCGGAGGCCCAGCGCGGCACAGATGGCGGCCGTTTGGGAGGCTCACAGCTTTCAGTGCTGCGGCCCTGATGTTTTTACTTCACTGCAATTTGTTTCTGATCTTCAGTCAAATCCTTACAACGCTGGGATCCCCTAGAGAGTTTATACTTTGACCTTATGACAATTAACACCAGAGGCCAAGGAAAAACCAGATAAGAGAGAAATTTTATTGATGAGTGGTGGATGGTGGGAGCACAAGGTGGGGTCTTATTACTGAAGTAAATGTGTTATTTGTGAAATTATTTCCCATCCAATAAAAAGAATGCAGTGTCTTTAAGAGACAAGTTGCCAAAATGGAAAGAAAGTCTTCTTTCAAAACTACCAGGCATGGCGATCCTCCTAGGTTACTGTGTTCAAAAACGGATACAAATTAGCTGAGGCTGGGGCGGGGCAGGGCCTTTCACAGGCTGGTTTGGCTTTGCGCACATGGGCAAGTTGGAAGTGTCCCTGCCCAGGCCCTGCCTGCCCCTGCCCCTGGGGGGCAGACCCTGAATTCCAAATCAGAAGCTGCAGTCCCGATTTGGAGCCCCAGCCACCAGAACCAGCAGCAGTGACCAGAGGACACCAGGCAAGGCGTCTGTCCTCACCTCTCACACATAGCCAAGGGCCTCAGGGATGGAGGACAGGCCTGGCTGGATGCCGCCGGACGTGCTGCCAGAATACAGGGACCCCAGCCCTGCTGAACAAAGGCATGTGCCCCTGGGGTGTTCCCCAGAGCTCTGGCCTGAGGAACAAATGCACCAGGGAAGCCCAGTCAGGGCCCAGCCTGGCAGCAGGAAGGTCACAGCAGAGCACCAGAACCAGAGCCCTAGAGCAAGGGTGAGCGCAGGGTCCTGTCCCCAATCCCCTGCCATGCACCACCCTGAGTTGTGCCGACCAGCAGCCAGAGACAAGGGCTCCCAGAGGGACACCACCTTCATTCAGATCTTGGCATCCTTTTAAAACTCTTTACCTTCCTTCCAAAGACACTCCCTGCTGTTTGGGCCCTGTTCCAGATCTGAATAGGGCCGGGGCACACCATCACGCAGAGAACTGCTACTGGGGGGCACAGGGTCTGCAGGGAGATGGCCTTTCTCCCACAGATACTTGCATGGAGGAAGCCCCCGAGGGCAGTGGGCTGTTCATCGTAAATCACCCTCCTGGTAGAAAAGAGTACAGAGCAGACATAAAATGGCTCTCACCCACACAGAGGCTGTGAGCAGACACACAGGTACAATGCCAGCTAAAGAGGTTAGTTTTCAAAAGTAATTCCAAGTCGAAAAGAAATAGACAAAAAAATTTTCTCCTGAGAATTTATCAGAAAACAAAATTATTATTATCCTAAGTAGCTGAATGCTTGTGGTTCCTCAGAAAATAAAACCTTCCTTTGCTAGAGGACACCTACTGACTCCTGCCAGGCCCTGCTTTGCGGTGCCAGCAGGGGACCACCAACGGGTGCAGAGTAGGGGTTCAGGGTGGGGATGGAGGCAGGCTGCTCAGAGCAGACAGTGTAGCCTGAGGTGGGCGTGGGCCCCCTGGCCATGGGCACAGGAACTGTGTTTAAGGCAAATGGGGCTGCACAGGGGTGGGGTGGAGAGAGGTCGCTACTGTGGAGTTAGGTCTGAGCAGGAAGCAGAGATCAGACCACAGACCAGTAACTATTAAATCACCTTAAGGAGTAGACGTTTTTTGTTTTTTTTTCAAATTTTTTAGAGTGATAAAATGCACATAACATAAAATTTACCATTTTAACCACTCTAAGAGTCCACTTCATTGGTGTTGAGTGCATCCATACCATTGTGGAACTGTCACCACCGTCTGTCTCCAGAACTCCTTGCATCTTGCCAGTCAGAAACTCAGCACCCACTGAACAGAGCCCATCCCCTCCACCACCCTGGCCCCCTGGCCCTCCTTTCTGCCATGTTTCTGCGTCCTCTAAGTAACTCATATACCTGGAATTTTACAGTATCTGTTTCTTTGTGTCTGGTTTATTTCACTTATCACTTTCCTTCCTCTTTAAGACTGGGTAAAGCTCCCCTGTGCATATACACCGCATTTTGTATTTCTGTTCACTTTAGATGGACACTTGAGCTATTCAACATTTTAGCTATTGTGAATATGCTGCTGTGAACATGAGCATATAAATATGTCTTCTAGATTCTTTCAGTTCTAGAAAGAGAGTGAGATCGCTCTCTTTCCAGAGCAAAGTGGGACTGCTCGGTCCAAAGTAGCTCCATTTTTAACATTTTGAGGGTGCTCCATACTGTGCTCCACAGAAACTGCTTCCTGTTGCATTCTAACCAACCGGGCACAAGGGTTCCAATTTCTCCACATGCTCATCAACACCTGTTTTGAGGTAGACATCTCAGAAGAAAAGCCTTGAAGTATCCAGGGCAGAGGCTTGGGTAATCACATGCCTCATTCATTCCAGCACATGCTCATGATGAGTCCACGCAAAGCCCCAGCACAGTATGATTAAACTTCATTATAACACAGCTCCCTGCCTGACAAAGGCAAAGTCCTTGGGGTGCATATCTTCTCACTTGTGTTATTGCAAAATGCATTTTGTGGTTTCATTCACACATAGCCTCAATTTATGTAAATAGATGGTGTCATTTATCTCATTATATTTCCAGGTCCTTTTAACCAAGAATTATGTTCTTCAGAGTCCACTGCTTCTAGCCAGCACAGATGAAGGTGGTCCATACCCCCTGATGTCCACCTGAGCCAGGCTGCCCCCCATTGCACCTCAGGGAAACCTTCAGATGCATCAGCTCAAAAACCCCCACCCTGGGGATCCCATGGAGAGCAGTCCCAGACTTGGGGTAGGCCCTGTGCAGAATGGCGACCCCATTTGCACACCTCCAGCAGCATGTGAGGCTCCCACGTGGAAGAAGCTGCAGTGGGAATCATGCTGGACTCTGAGCTTGCAAACCAGATTATAATTTGGATTCAGTGTCTAAAGAGGGGAGCCTTTGAAGGCTTTTAGCAGTCTCCTCAAACCAGCTAAATATTCCCACCTTTTATTTACTAAATAATATCTAGGTAACGCCTTTCTTCTTGTCAATCTTATCCCAGAAACTGCTGATAACTAGGATTGACCACAAAAGGCTAAACTTCAGAGGTAAAGTTCTCTGCCCCAGGCTCCCCACACCATCCACTCACACTTGGAAGCTCGTGCACCTTTGTGAAAACATGCCAAAAGCAACTGTCTAGTAAGAAACCACAGCAGAGGCCAGTCCTAGGGTATTTCACCCACACAACTGAGTGTGTGCCTACAGGTGCAGGGTGGGTGGAGAGCTGGCTAAGGACAATGGGGTGGGGTTGGTGAAGGCTTAAGGAGAGTTCTAGAGGGGGTGCAGTCACCCAAGCAGATGCTGCAGTCAAGAGCTTCTGTGCAACAGGAAAGGGCAGCCCTCCGCAGGGTTGACATCAGCATCAAAGAAGGGGATTTGTAGCACAAGGAGATGCCCCAGACGGCGGGACCTCCTGGGCCATGCAGCACAAGGATGAAGAATAAACAAATTACACGGAAATGAGAAATTAACACATATGTGGCTCCTTAGACCTCAGCTTCCTTATCTAGAGAATGGTGATGATAAACATTTCTATTTCTCCTCGTTCTGAGGATCACTCCTGCTTTGTGCCAGGCACTGCTCCAAGGGTGAGAAGGCTCTGCAGTCAGTAAGTCAGACAAGATTTCTGTCATCAGGAAGCTTACACCCTCATGGGGAAAGATGGCAATAAAAGTGAATATTTATCCCCCCACCAAATCATAGCTCTGGTAATTTAGATGCTAGCAGGGCACTCCCAGCTCTTTAAAATCTGGTAATATTATACAGTCTACCTCTACCTTAAGCCTTATGGAAAATATCCAATGGTCACCCAAAATTTTCTGCCAACAAATTCCCAAGGAACTTATTTCTCAAGGTCACCTCTGCCTCCTCCGTCCTGAATCCCTGTTCTAAATACATCAGATCAGCCATATCTTACCTTGACTTACACACACACACACACCAGTGATGAGGTTTTCCTGAGGCTTTTGGAGCTATAGATAGGGGCTCACAGAGAATCAGTGCAGTCAGAGCTTAGGAAGGGGCATGTATTTAAGCTGAGATTCAGATGACAAGAAGAAATTAGGAAAGGGGAGAAAAGAGCCTTTTAGGCCAATGGAAGGGAATAGGGCCATGGTCTGAGGTGAAGCCCGGAAGGAGGAAGGTGGCGGTTCTGCGGCCCATTTGGCTAGGCTCTGGACTTTGGTCTCTAACCTAAGAATGATGGGCAGTGTCCTGCACAGGGAACTTCATGCACAGTTGGGGTTTGGAACTGCCCTAGCAGCTGAGCTGCTTACACACACAGGACTTACATGGACTGGGAATGAGGGTGGGTGTGGGTCACCCAGGCAGGAAGGGCAGGACAGGGTAGACCTCGAGCACCTCTGAGTGGGACTGCATACCTCATCTGGGGTTGAGATATGGGGTGAGGGTGCCAAGCTCCCAAAGTGATTGCCAGGTGCCTGTATCGCCTGACCATGTGGATCTTGTTTCCAACACACATCTCTCCTTCACTGCATATCACTTGTGTATTTATTGTTTTGATCAGGGTTGGAACTATGGTCCACAGTTCAAAACCCTCCTCTACCATCTTGATAATGGCAGTCTCACTGGATGCAGGCACGCAATGGGATCATGCACGGCAGCTGCCTGCACTCGCTGCAGACCTAGACAGTTCCCACAGACCCGGGGCCCCAAAGCACTCATCCTTGGCCCTGCCCCAAGTGTGCTGGCCCCTGGCTTTCCTACTGAGGAAAGCTGCCTTCCACACTGGACAGCAGCTCCGTAAGGATGGAGATGGTATCTGCTCTCCTTCACTGTATCTTCATACTGACCACAGTGCGTGACACCCAGCAGAAACTCCATCAGTATTGGTGAATGAATGAGGGATCAGATGCGCCAGGCTGTCAGGCCCACTTTCCATCCTAAGACATCTTCCTGTCATATGCCAGTAGTTAAGAACGACAGTTGTCCCATTTTCCTTTTCCTTGGATTCTTTAGTTAATTTCCACTGACCACTCCAGGTTCTTCTGAAGAGGGAGTGGGCACAGGAATGAGCAGTCTGAAGTCAGGTGCTGGCTACTCCAGCACAGGCAGAGAACTCACTTGGAAACCAAGAACTGGCTCTGTGGATGCCCCTCCACTGTACGTTCCCCATGCACCACCAGCTGAGCGGGGCCCTGGGGGTGCTCTCCCTGTGACAGCTCAGAGAATGTGGCCGGAGGGTGAAGTCATCTGACGAAGCTC